CAAAAAATAATCTCAGTAACAATCCATTAAAAATAATTTTATTTTATTAGGTATCTAGTTCAGGACAAATTTACAGTTGAAATGCAAGAAAACTTCTAACTTCTTCTTGAAGCAAACAATGGAAACCCGGTTTCATGAAAAAGAAATTTGTCATGAAGGGATAAGGCTCTCCCTCAACTATTAGGAAATAAAAACTGTATTTAAACTTTATTGATATTACTTTTAATTTTTTCATTTGAACCTTTTTAATTTATAAAAGAGGTTAAGCCATTTAACTAATAACACAAATGCCAAAATACTATATAAAATATTCACAGTTAAAATAATTTGTGTTCCCAAATATTTCCTACATAAATATACCACAGGAAAATACTATGTATTGTTCTTTCGAGTTTTCCTACAATTAAAAAAATAAAACTTTGTACAAAAGTTAGACATTAGCAAGTTTTTGGTTTAATAGTTGGAAGTAAGAAATTAAAACAATCAGAATTTCTTTAGGTTGGCTTCATAACCAAGTATTATTCTGGCTAGTAAAACTTGCTGCTTTTAAGCCTGTGTTAAAAAGCAGTAATAATAAATTTAAAATTTTTTAAAAATTTTCTGAACTCTTTCTAGATATCTATTTCATATACTTTTCTGCAGCAAATACTATGCCTTCTGTATCAGGTCATGGATTCCTCTAATAGTAATGGCCCAATTGTTAGATTCTTCTAGAGGATCATCAGTTATGATTGAACTTCCTAAATCCATGATGTATTTGTTTGATCCAAATAATGTTTTGTCAGTAATAGATCCAGCCAATTCTTTGGAAATAGTTACTTGTGTTATAATAATAGGTCCATCCAAATCACAGTATAAGTCAGTATGCCCTGCTCAAGAATAATCATACCCAGAAACAACCTGTGGTTTATTCCCTGACTACTTATTTCTGTGCCTCAACCTTAGAACCTAAGCTTAGGAAATGAATCTGGCTCTTTATCATCTACCAGATAAAGTGCAGCTTCTCTGAAAGGCTTACGAGGCCTTGGTGACCTGGTGTTTGATTACCTGTCAACCTTTTCTCCCTCCTTTCTCATCAGAGTCAGTACACTCCAGCTGTACTTAATTATCTTAGTCCATTTCCTGTTGGTACAACAATATCACAGATTGGGTAATTTATAAAGAAATTTATTTCTCAGAGTTCTGAAGGCTGGGAAGTTCAAGAGCATGTTGCCAGTGTCTGGTTAGCATTATTCCATGGCAGAAGGTAAAAGTGATCACTCAAGAGGCAACCAGGGCCAGACTTGGTTTATATAACAACCCAGTCATGGGATAGCTAACCCACTTTCACAGTAATGATAATAATGTGTTCATGAGGCACAGCCCTCATGACCCAATGACCTCTTATATTAGGCTCTGCTTCTCAGCACTATTGCATTGGGGATTAAGTCTCCACCACATGGACTTCTGGAGGACACATTCAAACCACAGCACCATCTGATGTTTCCCAAACATATTATACTTTCTCATTCCTCTGTCTGGAAACCTCTCCTGCTTTCTCCTCCTAGCCAACTCTTATTCATTTTTCAAGTTAGCTCATCAGGAAAGCTTTCCCAACTTGCCCCACAAAAGAATACATACTACTTCCACTTTAGGTCATGCTCTATAGTCGCTTCAGTATTTTGTTTTTGCTATTTATATGACTGTCTCCCCTCACTAAATTGTGAGCTCCCTGAAGGCAAACTGTAGATGTTAAAGTTTATAATTATATAGCATGGCAGTGTGTGGTACATGATAGGTACACAACTTCTTCATGTCTGTATGTTTTATTGTCTATGTGTACCAGATACTATACTCTGAGTTGGCAATTCAAGCTGAGCAAAGAGGCAGCGTCACTGTGCCCAATGAACTCATTGTCTAGGGGAGAAACTGGTGTTAATCAGTGATAATATTAATGAATGTATAATTATAATTTGAATTAAGTGCTTTGAAACACACATGCACACACACAACACTGACCTAGGCCGAGCTGGTGTAGGAGGAGCAGTCAAGGAAAGCTTCCCTAGGAAAGTAGAGCTTCACTTGCCATCTGAAAGATGAGTAAGTAGAGAGAAGACTGGAAAACAGATGTAGGCCAGAATATGTGAGATATTTGCAAGGCCATGATAAGGATTTAGTTCTTTATCCTAGACTAGAGCAACAATAAGGCATTGAAAGTTTTTAAGGAGGTGGCTGACATTATGAGACTTTGATTTGTAAAGATGCTCAGATTGTAGTTTGGAGAATGGATTGAAGAGAAAAATATTTATTGACTAACAAATTTATAAATTAACACACTTAGCTAAATCTTAAATATTTACTTTATGTTAACCTTATCTAATTAAAATGTGAATTTTAATAATACTTCCAATATAGCACTGTCCAACTGAAATATAATATGAGCCACATATGTAATTTCAAATTTTCTAATAGCCACATTAATAAAAGTAAGAAAAAGGTAAATTTAATTTTAATAATATATCATACATAACCTAGTATATCTAAAATACTATCATTTCAACATGTAATCAATATTAAAGTATTTTAATGAGATATTTTACCTTTTTATACTAAGTCTTTGAAATCTGGTGTGTATTTTACACTTACAGCACATCTCAATTCAGATAACCATATCTCAAGTGTTCAATAGCCATTGTGGCTAATGGCTACCATATTGGAAAGTGCAGGTATAACGCCTTCACCCAGTGGCTCTCAAACCTGGCTATTCATAGAAGTACTACCCAGAAATACTTGTTAAATATTTCCTGGTAACTGTCTCCATTTTGATTAAATGACTCTAAGGAGAGACCTAGAAATCTGTTTTTGATCCAATACACCAGGCAATGCTAATGCAACAGCCCATGGACAAGCATTGCCTCAAAGTTATTAATATAATGAAACCTTTAGACGTTCTGGAAAAAATTGAGCAATGTCATGGGAAGCCCAAAAGGAAGGATATTCCAGACACCCTTCAAATAATTTCTGAAATTCCTTACCATACAATATTACTGTAAAGTTTGATCTAGAGACTTCCAGCTCCTGAAAAGATAGCAAACTATACAAGGCTATTGTCCCAATTCCCCAAATACAATCCTAAAGTTTCCACATAAGTGAGAGGCAGGGTGACAAATTTAAGCCTAACTAGGAAACTCTGTAAAACCCTTGGAGAGGAAAGGAAGTTGCTTCACATTGTGGTGGAAGAAGAAAGCCTGAAGGGGCAAAGAGGAACACTAATGGAGGTAGAGGGTGGAATAAAAATATAGAATCTCTGTTTGTGCCCTTTTCTACCCCACATTAGCCTGAGTGGATCACAGCCCACCCCAACTGAAGATAGGCATAAAAACAGCAAGATCATCCCAGCACCTGCCCAAGGAGGCAGAAGAACATCAGGGAACCTCATAGCTATGCATATGGGTTGGTTAGGAGCACTCCTCTTCTTCTTTCCACCCAAGGATGTAGATGATTATCATAGAAGACAGGAGCTCTTGGGAAAATGATGACAATGTAGGGTTACTGGGAGTCAACATGAGAGGCATGTTCTCTTTGTAGGAGGGTAGACTAGAACTGATGGAGCCCAGATTATAACACCAAAGGCTTTCTACCATGAGGCTCATTCACTCTTCTCCTTACCCATTGCCCCCAAAAGAATCACCAGAAGAGTCACAATCCAAGTCCTATGCTTTTGATCCTCCCTTGAAAATGTGAATTACAACTGTGCTTGCTGATACTCCCAAGGGAATATGAGATCACAGGGGAAAATATTGCAACATCTGAAGAGTGTCATTCCCTAAGAGGTTTTTGTTAAAACTAGACAATTTATACTAGAGGAACAGAATTAATGGAAAAAAGTGAAGAATTTAAAATGAGTAAAAGAAATATCTTCAGAGATAAGAAAGAATATTATAAACATGAAGCAATAAAAAGCTAGAGATATAATTTATACTAGAGGAACAGAATTAATGGAAAAAAGTGAAGAATTTAAAATGAGTAAAAGAAATATCTTCAGAGATAAGAAAGAATATTAGAAACATGAAGCAATAAAAAGCTAGAGATATTGGTTATGAAAATATAGTAATTGAAATGAACTTAGTGGATAGGTTGACTTAAAGAGTGGATACCATCAAATAACAAAATAGTGAGGCAGAAATTACTTGGAGAATTCTCCCAAACAGTATCTGGAAGCAATAAAGAAATAGGAAACATAAAGATATGAGGAAAACTCTGATTAAAAAAAAAAAACTGACATTACAAGAGAACTACAGGCAAATATCCCTCATAAACACAGATGAAAACTCCTAAACAAAATATTAATTAATTGAATTAAGCTATATAGATATATTATAAAATAAGTTTAGTAGAGTTGCAAGATACAAAATCAATTTATAAAAATCAATTGTATTTCTGTATGTTAGCAATGAAAAATCCAAAATGAAATTAAATAAATAATCCCATTCAAAATCACATCAAAAAGAATCAAATACCTAGGAGTAAATTTAGCAAAAGACATGAAAAGCTTATACACTTAAAACTACAAAGCATTGTTAAGTGATATTAAAGACAGTCTAAATAAATAGGCGACATTCCATTTTCATGGACTGTAGGACATAATATTATTAAGATAACAATCCTCCCAAATTGATCTATATATCCTACAAAATCCCAACAAGCTTTTTTGTAGAAATTGACAAGCTGACCCTAAAATTTATATGGAAATGCAAAGGACCTACAATTGCCAACATTATTTTCAAAAAGAGCAAAATTGGACTTACCATAAAGTTATAATAATCAAGAGAGTGGAATATTGGTGTAAGGATAGACATATAGAACAATGAAACAGAGTATAAAGTCTAAAAATAAATCCTTATATTTGTGATCAATTGATTTTTTAAAACATCAAGGCAATTCAAGGGAAAAGGATGCTCTTTTCAACAAATGGTGCTTACACAATAAGATATCCATTTAAAAAGAAATAAAACCATTACTTTGTACTACAGTTGGCTGTCATGTATCTTCAGTTCTGTGTCTGCAGATTCAACCAGTTGTTGAAATTTGATCCACAGTTGAATTGGTTGGTTGAATACATGGATGCTGACCCAGCAGGTAGGAAGCCTGTGGATGCAGAGGGCAGACAGTAGGACTTGATCATTCTCAGATTTTGCTGTCAGCGAGGGTCCTGGAAACAATCCCCTGCAGATACAGTAGTATGACTGTATATACAAAAACCAATTCAAAATTGGTGATACACCTACATGTAAGAACTAAAACTTTCAAACTTCTAGAAAACATAGGAGAAAATCTTTGGAACCTTTGGCTAGGCAAAGATTTATTAGTGTGACACAAAAAGTGCCATTCATTTAAAAATTAATAAACTGGATTTGATCAAAATGTAAAACTTTTTTTTTTGTTTTTGAGACAGAGTCTCACTCTGTTGCCCAGGCTAGAGTGCCATGGCATCAGCCTAGCTCACATCAATCTCAAACTCCTGGGCTCAAGCAATCCTACTGCCTCAGCCTCCCGAGTAGCTGGGACTATAGGCATGTGCCACCATGCCCGGCTAACTTTATATGTATATACACACACACATATGTATACACACATTTTTTTAACTGTCCAGCTAATTTCCTTCTATTTTTCTTAGTAGAGACGGGGTCTCACTCTTGCTCAGGCTGGTCTCGAACTCCTGAGCTCAAATGATCCACTTGCCTCAGCTTCCCAGAGTGCTAGGATTACAGGTGTGAGCCACCATGCCCAGCCAACTTTTGCTCTTTTAAAGACACAACTAAAGAAATGAAAAGCCACAGATTAAAAGAAAATATTTGCAAATTATGCAAGAAATAGGTATTAATTGTCTACTGCTGTGTATCAATTATCCAGAAACTTAGCAGTTTAAAACTATAAACATTTATTATCTCATGCAATTTCTGGGTGTCAGGAATCTGAGTGTAGCTGTCAGCCAGAGCTATAGTCATGTCAAAGCTGGGCTAGGACTAAAGAATCTTCTTCCACACTCACATGGCTATTCATAGGCCTCAGTTCTCTGCTTGTTGTTGGGCAGTATATTAGTTTCCAGGGCTGTTATAACAAAATAGCACAGACTGAGTGGCTTAAATAACAGATATTTGTTTTCTCACAGTTCCAGAAGCTAAAAGTCCAAGATCAATTGTTGGGGGCTGATTCTGGTGTTATGCCTTATACTAATCATTCACTATAGTCTGTAATGTACATGTGCTGTCTGATGCAGCAGTAGTCAGCATTTTCTTCAGACACGGTTGCTGCCTTGTGACTTGATAAGAAGCCTGAGTTGTTGCACAAAAGCAAATGCTCCCAACTCCGACACGGAGGGCCCCCGTGGTGGGAGTCTGGAGGCCATGAGAACAAGAACAAGAAGAACTCAGAAGAACTCTCCCAAGAACTGCCCCCCCCCATTGATGATTGGTAGTCAATGACGGGGAAGACTCCCCATGGAGGGGGGCGACCTAAAACAGGCACAACCGTGGGGGCCAGGAAGGAGCCGCCCACCTGGGATTGAGACCAAGAAGCACTTCAAATGGCTGCATTGTTTTATGTTGCCCATCTCGGCCTTGGCTTTTGAGCTCTGTCCGGCACCTTAACTTTAGTAACCGTTTTGAGGTCTGAGACCATAGGAAATTGTTTCCCTTTTGAAACAACTCCGTAATTGGCTGATATCGCTGCTATGCTCAGATGCTCACGTACACGGAACTAACCTTGGGTCTGGGAAGTATAAAAATAAAGCAACCGGTGCATTGGTCACTCGAGTCATTGTCATGTCCATGTGTGTCTGTGTCGTCATTTTATGTTCTGTGTCATCCCCTGTCCTGTAATCGCGCCACATCAATGTGTTAGCAGGTTTGATTTTTCCTGAGGCCTCTCTTGGTGACATTCAGGTAGCCACCTTCCCACTGTATCTCAACACGGTCTTTTCTCTCTGTGTGTTCCCTGTTGTCTCTTTTTGTGTCCAAATTTCCTCTTATAAGGATACCAGTCAGATTGGATTAGGGCCCACCCTAATGGTTTTATTTTAACTTAAAAACTTCTTTAATGGTTTCATCCCCAAATATAGTCTCATTCTGATGTACTGGGGAAGAATTTTGTGAATTTTAAGGAGACACAATTCAGCTTATAACAGCCAGAGACTTCAACTCCCTGCGACTGTATGTAGGGTTACTCAAGACAAGGCAGCTTTCTTTCCCCAGAGGGAGTGCTCTGGGAGAGAGAACAAAAGAGCAAGAGCCTACAGCAGAAACAACAGCCTTTTTCCAAACCTAATCTCAGAGGTAACATAATATTAATTCTGCTGTATGCTATCCAGGGATAAGAAGCAGCATTCTACACATTGGTCTGACTACCAAGTGGGGATTATTGGGGAACATCTTGGTGGCTGTCTACCACAATCCTATATTCATAATATAGAGAGAACTACTACAGTTTGATAATAAAAAGACAAATCAATTAAAATGGGCAAAATATTTGAATATACATTTCATTAGAGAAAATATACAAATGGTCATGAGCACATGAAAAGATGCTGAACACCATTAGTCATTAAAGAAATGCAAACGAAATTCACAATGAGAAACCAGTACACACTTATAAACCAAAAAGTGACAATAGCAAGCATTGGCAATGATGTAGAGAAACTGGAACCCACAGCCAGTGGGAACGTAAAATGGTACAGCAAAATAGTTTGGCCATTTCTTAAAAATTAAACATAAATTTGCCATACGGCCCAGCAATTCCACTCCTAGGATCTACTCAAGGGAAATGAAAACATGTCCACAAAAAAGCTTATATACAAATGTGGAAGCAGAATGATTCTTAATAGCTCAAACTGGAAACAATCCAAATGCCTATCAACTGGTACATGAATGAACAAATGTGCTATATCCATACAACTGAATATTATTTAGCAATAAATAACAAAAGCAGTAAAAACAACAAACTTCTACTATTTAAAACATGTTCAACATGGATTCTTTCTGTCATTTTTTAGCCTCTCTTCCTAGTGTGAAGATGTATCTAGCGTGAAGATCCAGTAGTTTCTCTTTGATCCCAACGGCAACTAACACTTCTAAGTACCTCCAAAAGAGATTGTCTGTTCTTCTGGAAGCTACCACCTCACAACCCACAGTGGATTTTCAATGCTCCTTTCAGCACTGCTCAATCAGTAGTGCCCCAACTAAGTGCCCCTTCCTCACTCTGCTCACCTATTTAAAATTCCCATTCCCTCACCAATATGTGCATGAATGATAATAGCTGAATGCCCTGCAAACTAATAGTCTCTGATTGGGTAGCACAAAGCAGCCCACCCTAAAAGCCATTTCTTTGAAGTTTCCTCATGCATCAGCTGAGGAAAATATATATCTCACAAGACATTATGTGAAGATTAGGTGAAAGTGCCTAATGCCCAGTTTCCCAGTATGCAATAGTAATAATTTTTAAAAGTAGCTGAAACAGATGCAAGGGTTGTTTTGGTTGTGTGTGTGTGTGTGTGTGTGTGTGTGTGTGTGTGTGTGTGTGTTTAGATCCACTCCTGGAGATTGAACTTTGGTCAAGTCTCTAAACAGGGGAAAAAAATATATATATATATATATACATATATATATATATATATCTGATATCTCTCTCTATATATATATATAGAGAGAGAGAAAACTAAAAATAAAATCGTAAGCCCCCCAGCCGACTGAACCCCAGAGAAACCTTAAAAACTGAGTTCCCAGCCATGACGGAATGGGAGGTCAGACAAACCTCATCGTATCTTCTCCTTTTTGCAATTTAGACACAACAACTGACCAGCATTAATGTTAAAATAGAAATCATAATACTGACAAAAGGGACTGTGTGGCAATAAGATACCTAAGGCCATGCCAGCATGTGTTAAGTCACACACCCCTACACTGTATAGAATAAACTGTTTTTTCTATAAAAAACAGTTTATTATTTATTATTTCTAATAAACAGGTTTTTCTTTTTCTTTAGAAACTAAAGAAGCACTAGCCTCAAGACAAGCAATATTAAAACAATTGCAGCTTACCCACTGACAGAAGCTGACTAACTGACCCTGGTCCAAGAGCCATAACTACAACTTTGATTGGACAAGAGTTCAGCAACTTTCTCCTGATAAGACCACCAACCAAGGACTGATTCTGGCCGTTTTACCGAGGCTGCCTGCTTGAGTGCCTTGCTGCCTCTGCTTCACCTTTTGACTTAATGGGGCCTCATTATAATGTATTTACATGTTAACTCTCCAATCCAAAGTTAACATGGGTCATGTGTAACATGCATGTTTGCTTATCATGCATGCCTGTCTTCCCTCCATGAATATTCATAGATCCTCCTATAACCTATTGAATATATATACTTGGCCAACTCATTTGGCATAAATTCCTGTTCCACCCTCCCCTCCCTCAAACAGCCTGTTTCCAGCCTCCTCAGAGGCTGTGCTTCTAAACCTGTCAGAACAGCCACCTTGCAGGCTGTAACCTGTAAGAAATAAATAAGCTTTTAAATTGTGTAATTTTAAAGTCGACCATATATATAAAGTTCTCTTACAGAGTCCTGTAAAATGCGGAGAAGGGGGAACAGGCAGATGCAAGCTGTTACTGAGGAACAGTTGAAGGAATTACGTTAACACCTTCTTTCCTACCTGAAACCTAATAACAGCCACCATACATTGAGTTTGTCAGTCACTGCTAGTTGAGTCCCATGCATGATTTCATGTACTCTTCATAATAACATGAAGAGATTTGTAATACCATCGTCCTAGTTTAATAGGTTTAAAAAAACTAAAGCTTTGGAGAGGCGTAACATCAGGTGTGTACTCCATTTTCATACCAGATTAGATTAAATTGTTGATACAGATTAGGGTGGGTATTCCCATTTCAAGAGTATAAAAGGTTCCTTTCTCTTCCCTCAGCGGGGCTCCTCCTCCACTCTACACTTAGCAGAGCGCAGCGGGTAGCCGAGGGCCCGAGGAGGAGGCGTCCCCAGGGTCCGGGAGTGGCGAAACCCTGGGGACAGTCACAGTGGGCGTGGCCTCACGCGGATTCTCTCAGAGGATCTGGGCGGGACCGCCGCAGAGCCGTAAAGACCGCTACAAGTCGTAAAGTGGCGAGGCACGAAAGCGTTGCTTTACGGCGATTCGGGCGACAGTGCCAGGCCGGCGTCCAGCGCTTGTGTCTTCTCGGCTCTACACGTGGGCTGGTGTCTGTGTTCCGGCCCGTAATTCTTCCTGTTGCCGTGGAGCAGCCACATCTAAGGACAGAGTGGCAGCAGAGATCAAGGGTCGTGAGCTGATGGAGTTTGCTGCGGAAAATGAAGGGATGTCGGGAGGTGATCTCCAGAGTGTAGCTGAGGGGGCGCGGTTAAGTCCCAAGTCGGATAGGGAGAAAGTCGGGGAGTTAGCAGGGATGGAGAAGGCCGGCGGTGGAGAGGAGGGGAATGGATTGACAGGAATGAAGAAGACAGGAGATGGAGAGAAAGGAAGTGAGCAAAGGGCAGAGGAGTTGGGAATGGACTTAACGGTTGTGAAGCAAGAAGTTATGGACTGGCCAGAAATAGAAGGCACGGTGGATGGCCAGTGGGTAAAGCAGGAGGTGGAGGATGGGCCTGAGGTGAAGGAAGAGAAAACAGACATATTGGAGGTGAAACAGGAGATGCAGAGTGGTTGGGTGATAAAAGAAGAGAAGATGGATGAGCCAAAGGTAAAGGAAGAGAAAGTGAAGGTGAAGGAAGAGGTAATAGACTGGCCAGAAGTGAAGGAAGAGAGGAAGGATAACTTGGAGATAAAGCAGGAGGAGGTGTTTGTTGGTCAGAACATAAAAGAGGAGGAGGAGATGATGGATGGAGTGCTTGTAAAAGAAGAGAAGGATTTCCTGAAGAAAGAAGTGATGGATGATACGAAGGTGAAAGAAGAGCCTCAGAGGAATCACCTGGTGGGCTGCAAGCGGAAACTGGCCATGTCAAGGTAAGGCGGGGAGAAAGCCAATTGGGGGAATAAAACTAAAGTCCTCTTGTCTAGAATGATGGAAACTACACTATCAGCAGAAGGAAAAATAAGAATAAGTTTGCTTTTCTGGAGTCTGAGTGGTATTGTTTGGTGTTGTTGGGAAGGGGAGGATGTTGTCAGATGACCACAAATTCAGTGAAAATGTCTGAAGTTGTTAGTGACCAGTGGGTAATGATTAAGTAAGGAAAATGAAATTTCCGGGGACCATAAGATCCTTTGGAACAGGATCTGGCTTGACTTAATGTGCTTTTTACTCAGTATTCCTTTGAGAAACGATAGAGATGAGAAAAATCTAATAAAACCAATAATGACAAAGTGGATTAAGTTAAAATTAGACAAAAACACATTTGACCTTACTCAATTGTCAAATTTCTATACAGATGCTATGAATATTCGCTGCTTTTGATTTAATTTCCTTAGTGTGGGATCAGGTTGACAACAAAGGAAATAAAAGTGGTCAAATTCTTGTGAATATTACTGTCTAGAACATAGTGGACCAAATAGAAGTAGCTGCAGTTTGGTTGTCCCAAGATCCTAGAAGAGCAGTTGAGGACAGATGATGGTTAAAAGCATTTCTAGACTATTTTGATGCCCATTCAAGGTTAGGTGTGGAGTTGAGGAGAAAAGGTGCTACTGCTGGTCTCTTAATTGGACCAGGTTTTACATTCTTTTTTCTGGTGTGTATGTATGCTTTTAAAATATCTAAACATAACTTATGGACTGGACTTCTGGATACACATACATGCAATCACACAATCATTACCAGACTGCCAGGAATTACAAGTTAAAATATCAGTGAATAATCTCATTCTCTAATTATAGTAGAAAAAGAAGTCAAAAGTGAGATGAGTTTTTAAAAATTTAGTACATGTTTTCTTGAGTTACATATTACTAACACCATGGTAAATGTAGTTATTATTTGGAGACAATTTCATAAAGAAGAATTTTCAAATGATGTTAAACAGCTGTCAAATACTTTATCAGTTACCTGCATACACTTTTTAAAACAATCTTAATCCCTTAATCCCATCCACTTATACTTGCATGTACTTTATTCACTGTGACTAATGTTTATAAATTGATTGTGACAAGTAATTCAATCAGCATTCAAAGTTTATAAACAGATAAGTAGAATTAATATTTGATAACTTACTAAATTACTTGGGCTTTTGTACTAATTAATGGGCTTTTGTAGGTGTGAAACTTGTGGTACGGAAGAAGCAAAGTACAGATGTCCACGTTGTATGCGATATTCCTGCAGGTATATATGTAACTTCCTACCTTATTACCTACATTTGTATCTTTCTTACTCTAAAATATAAAAGTACTTCCTCTTTGTCTCTTTAGTTTGCCCTGTGTAAAGAAACACAAAGCAGAACTGACATGTAATGGAGTTCGAGATAAAACTGCTTATGTTTCAATACAACAATTCACTGAAATGAATCTCCTAAGTGGTAAGCCATTTTATGCATAGCAGATGATTTTTCCTGGCCATTGGTATATGTCATTTGTTTATTCTTCTGTTTATTCTGTTATTTTGAAATTTTTAGATTATCGATTTTTGGAAGATGTGGCGAGAACAGCAGACCATATTTCTAGAGATGCTTTCTTGAAAAGACCAATAAGCAATAAACATGTAAGTATTCTTTTTTACCTAATCCCTTCCAGTTAGAATCCCTTTCAATCAATTAGATTCATTTTTTTCACTTGACAAATATATTACATGGCTACCATGATCTAGGGCTATTCTGGTTACTAGAAATATGGCAGTGACCAAAGCAAAGTCCTTCCCCCTCATGGAGCTTATATTTAGTGGGAGAGACAGGACATGCTTAGATCAACAAATATAATTTCAAATAGAATTGAGTAAATGTAGAAATAAAGGTAGCTGAGGAGATTAACCTGAATGAAAATGGTGTTGGTTGCGGGGAGATTGTTAGAGTAGTATTTTTGATACAATGGTCAGGAGAAGCTTCTCTAAGGGATGATATTTAAACAGTGATCTGAATGATGGGAAAGAGGCTGTCTATGTGAATATTTGGAGGAAGATTATTCTGGTAGAGACAAAAGTAAAAGGAAAGACCTGAGTGAGGAACAAGGTTGATACGTTTGAGGAATTAAAAGAGAGCAGAGTGACTGAAGCATAGTGGTGAGGAGGAGCATGTTGAATATGAGGTTAGAGAAACTGGGGAGGGTTTCTAACGTAGACTAAATGCAAATGGAAACCTTTGGAAGGTTTTGAATATGTTTGCTTTTTAAAAGAACACTCTTGATGCTGTGTGGACTTTAGGTGGAAGGGTGGAAGATTAGAAGCAGAGAGACCAGTGATCCATGTGAAATGATAGTGGCTTGGTCATTCTGTTAGAATTATTAGGAATTCATTAGTTTCTGGTTTTGAAGGAATAACTAATAAGACTTGCTGTTCTAATATGCTTAGTTTTCACACTCTTGCATCCCTTTTTCATTCCTTAAAAACTACACAAAATTAAAGCTTACATATTAGAAATAGTTTGCAACTGGTATTATTCTAGAGATTCATTAGTAGTATATTACATGGAATTCTGTTCATTTTTCAGAGACCATTTTAATATTAGAGTTGCAAGATTTTCATATCCTTTAAACCTTTTATTTTATTGGTATTATTGGTATGGACATGACATTACACATATCTGAAGGGTAATTATCATGTATCAACTTATTTTTCCTCAAGCTTAATTATGCATAATTAAAATTCTACTTAAAGATAAATTACCTTTTAAAATTTTTTAAATTATGAAATATAGCATGTATATTAAAAAATCATAAAGTGGAAATATGCAGTGTAGTAAATAATTATTAAAGAAACATTCATGTAACTACCACCAGGTCTAGAATGAGAACATTACCAGCTTCTCAGAAGTTCCCTGCCACCCTCTTGTGTCCTTCCCTAATCCTTTCTCATTTCCAAATTTATTTTTCTATCTTAGGTCCATACCATAATTTATTTATCCATTCTATTTTTATGGGCTTTGGATTTTCTGTAAGAAAAAAAAATTTAGAAACAATGCTACTACTCTTGTTTATAAATTGTGGTTTGCATGTGAACATGTATTTTTAGGTTTTATGCCTGGGAGTGGAATTGCTGTGTTGTGGAGTATGCATGTCTTCTATTTGACTAGATTTTATCAAAACATTTTCCAAAGTAGTTACACCAGTTTATAACCCCACCAGTGGCACGTAAATGTACCTTCTTTCTTTCATCACATTCTTTCTAGTACTTGATTTGGTCAGACCTTTTAGATTTTTGTTAATCTGATGGCTGTGTAATCTTACTATGGTTTTAAATGTGTTCATTATAAATATCTTCTTCTATTATTATAAATATCTTCTTCTATTCTATAGCTTGTCTTTTCACTCTGTAGTGTCAGAGTGAAAAGATTTGGTGAATATATGTTCTTAATTTTAATGTAGTCAAATTTATTATTTGTCTCCTTTATAGTTATTATTACATGTGTTTACAAAGAAATCCTTCCCTACCTTGAAGTTAGGAAAGTATTCTCCCATAATTATTGTCTAAAGCTTAATAGTATTACATTTCACATTTATGTCTCTAAACTACCTAGAATTGATTTTTGGTATCATTTAAAGTGGAGGTCCCATTTAATTTTCTATATGGATAATCCACTTTTCCTATACCATTTATTGAAAAATTCATCTTTTCCCTACTGTTTTGCAGTACCACCTTTGTCATCTGTCAAGCATCCATATATGCTTGGACCAGTCTCTGGCTGTTGGTATACTGGTCTATCCTGCACCAGTACTACACTCTCTCAATTATTGCAGTTTTTTGCTAAAATTCATTATTTAATAGAATAAATCCTCCCACTTTGTTCTTTTTTCTAGAGTATGAGTATTCAGTGTTTTTTGCACACAAGCAAGGCAAATCATTGCAAATCTGAGGAAGGACTGGCCCATGGCCACAACTTCCAATGGATTTTTTTTTCTTTTTTCTCTGTTCCTGTCTGACCATACAAGTT